ATCTAACTTTACACAACTATCCCGAGAATTAGGTATTTCTGTACAAAATTCAATCTTTTTAGTTGACGGACATGAGGTACTATATATATTCGATACTCCGCATTTAATGAAAAGAACTCGTGATAATTTGTTGAAACATAATATACAATTTGGAAATAACAAAGTTGCTTCATGGGATGATATTATTGAATTTTATAACAGAGACAGTAAACAGTGGATAAAATTGGCCCCAAAGTTAACTCAAAAGCATATCGATCCAAGTAATTTTGATAAAATGAGAGTACCATACGCTGTTCAAGTTCTCAGTAATCGTATGTGTGCAGGTATGTGCACTTACTTGTCCTTGGGCCTTCTTCCAAGCGCAGCAGTTGGAACAATAGATTTTATCGACCATTTTGATAAATTATTCGATATTTTAAATTCTTCCACTTTAAATAGTCCAAAGGAATATGCGCAAGTATTTACAGGAAACGAAAAACAAATTGAATTTTTAGAAGAAATGTTATGTTTTTTAAAAACTATTAAGGTAATTAATGACAAAGGATCTCGTGTAAAAGTTCAATGCTTCGAATGTTGGCAAATAACTATCAACAGCATGATGCAACTTTGGGAAAAATTAAAATGTCATAATTTTCCACATATTCGGACACGAAGAATCAATCAAGATTGTTTAGAAAATTTCTTTGGCTGTGTTAGACAACAAGGCGGTAATTGTGTAAATCCGACACCGATACAATTTAGTCGTGCCTTTAAAAAATTATTTAGTATGAAGATGTTACAACATTCAGATACGTAAAATTGTGCTGCGGATAATGATCGCATGTTAAGTTTAGTTGGTATGTCAGGTTCGAATCCGTCTACTTCCTCAGAATTTATTCCATCTACGGCACGTGTAATTTTAGATATTCCTAATCACGATTATCATAACATGGAACTACCAGAAGTAAATGCCTTTAAATATGTTTGCGGATATTTAATAAAAAAATGTACAGAAATGCATACGTGTGAAGCGTGTACAGATTATGTAAATGAAAATATGACTGTCTTAGATGATACTGCTTTGTATTGTTCTTTCCGAGCTTACAATACAGAGGAAAATCCTTTTGGAAAATTAAATTTACCAAGTAATAATTTTTGTGCTTATATCCATCAATTAGAAGAAATATTTGTGAAAACGTTTGAAAGTAATTGCTTTAAAAAAAACATTGGTATCTATTTATTTCAACTTGCACAGAATGTAACTTTTGAAGCGCCGTGTCCACATTTTCCAACAATTTATTTAATAAAATTATTTTTCCGTATGCGCATTTATTATACTTTAAAACAACATAATAAGGCATGTAAACGTATTCGTAAAAGAAACAGAAAACTTTTGAATATTTTACATTTATAAATCTTTTCTTTCATATATAATATATATTGTTTTCTTTATTTCACACACACACACACACACACACATATATATATATATATATATATATATATATATAGACAGTTTTATTTTTATACACCATTACCAATTTATATTTCTTAAGTGTATGACTGATTGTGACATTGTATTTGCGAGCATATACTTTCACGTGTTTATGTTATAACAGTTTATGGTCATGGTAATAACAACTTATAATTTTCTTTATCTTTATTTTCTGTTTGCATGCTATATTTATAATAAATAGATTTTATAGTTACATACAGTGTTATAAGTATTAAATATTAAAGTTTTAACTGTAAATATATTAAGTTACTTTCTTTTCCACTCTTTCTTTGGTTCGTACTGAGGTGGATCGAGTAACTGAAGTACGGACTAATGATTGAGTTGGACACAAGAAATTAATAAATATATTTTTGGTATAGAAATATTAGGAGTCAAGACATTTTGTTTTACACAAATTGCATATTTTTATTATTGTATACTTTTAACTTTATTTAGTATGACATTCTTTTATTTTCATGTATTAATATTTGTCAATAAAATTTCTATTTTATATATGTATGCTTGGAACTGACTTTGTTAACTTACATTAATATATTAATATGTACGTTTTCTATCTGGCCGCATTAGTCCCGATGAGACTAGCTGCCATTATAAAGGGAGAAGAAGATTTACTATGTGTTTGGTTGGTGTAAGCTATCTATGATTCTCTTTTACATTTTTTTTCCATCTTATGCATTTTTTATTATTTTTTATTTTGTTTTACTATTCTTTAAGTTGCATGATATTTACATATATATTATTGCATTATTTATATAATTAAGTCTTTGTATGTTTTGTTTATTTTTTATTATTTCATAATTTTTATATATTTTTTTTTTTTTTTTTACAGAATATTGCCAACACGAGTCATCAACTTATTTACATACTTTTTATCGGCTTTTTAAACGGGCATGTAACAGATTTAACTTTTATTAGTTCTTTCATTTCGTTTACTTTGTTATTGCAATTATCATTGCAGAAATCATGTAACTTGACAGTTTATACATTTGTCACATATACATATATCTATATACATATAAATAGTTGTCATTGTGAATAAAAAGAATTAGATAAAATAAAGTTACAAGTTGTATTATATAATTTTCTTAATATTTCCTTGATATTTCCTTTTGTGACCGTTTAAATATTGATAGCATAAATAATTTATTGATTTGTGTTATACAACTAGTGTATAACACGAAGAAGTAATATGGCACATTTGTACAATTGCTATACAAATTATTAAAATTTATCTGTATTTTGTATGTACCTAACCTATATATATATATATATATAATAAAAAAATATATAGTGTAAAAAAATATAAATATATAGCGCGCGTCTGGTTGTACATCATATTTTATTTCTATCTTAAATGTAACCCTTGTTGTTTATGCATGCGTTTCTGCGCGTTATAACGCACGTCAAACATGCGTCTCCATACATTATCCCAATCAAAACACGCGCATCTGACACGCAACGATAAATTAGAAAGAGAGAGAGACTTATAACAGTGAGAGGAAGTGAGACAGATTATCGGTGCTCTGATTGGTTACATACCTCGCACGCGCATGTGCAGTTCATTTTCATCCACGCTAACATCAAAAGTGCCGACAGAGAGTTGCGCTACTGTATATACTGTGGCGGAGGAGAAGTCTCTCGACGCTCGATAATTACTGCGCGGAGGAGATGGAATCTCACTTGACGCGACAAAAGCTATAATAGTTCGAGTCTCTCAACGCTTCCTCGATGCGAGATGCAGAGTATAGCGGTAGGATTCGATGCTGGTCTGTGCGCGGCTCGCCTTAAATTGCTACTCGAACGTACTTTAAACGCGAGTAAATGTACGTGAGCCGGCGACGCGCCGCGGCGAGCCGCGAAATCTGATAAGCGCGTGTTGGCCGGGAGCGCATTCGTCAGGCGCGCGCGGCCCATGTTCGACTTCTCGAACAATGCGCTTTATGAAAAATTGTTAATTAAATAATTTTGATTTTATACACTAAATGTATAATAATCGTATATTATTTATGTCAAGTTTTAAGTCATTTCATTGAAAAATGTAGAATTATAAGCAAATAACCGAAAAATGAGGCGTTTGCCCCACTGTGCGGCGTGTTGAAAGAGGCTAGCACTACCACCAAACTTCGCGTGGTGTTTAATGGCTCACAACGCACCAGCTCCGGAGACTCGCTCAACGACCACCTCTTCGCAGGCGCTAATCTCCTGCCAGCACTTGCTGACGTGCTCTTGCGTTGGCGTCGGCACCGCTACGTGATGATCACAGACATCGAGAAGATGTATCGCCAGATTATCGTCCACCCGGAAGATCGTGACCACCAGCGAAGCCTGTGGCGAAGTGCCGTCGAACAACTCGTGCGCGTTCTCCGCCTGACGACGGTCACCTACGGCCTCAAGTGCTCACCGTGGGTCGCGATTCGCACGCTTTTGCAACTCGCCAAAGACAAGGGGGCTCGGTTTCCGCACGGCGCGATCGCTCTCGAGGACGACAGATACGTGGATGATGTCGTGACCGGAGAGGACACTATCGACGACGCGGTTGCCGTGCAAACCGAACTGCGCGAACTCTGCACGGCGGGCGGGCGGGTTTCCGTTACGCAAGTGGGCCGCGAACTCCGAGGACGTTCTCGTTGGCATCCCGCAGGAGCACCGCCTTAAACGCGCACTCCACGTGTGGAAAACAGACGGTCACTCCACTCTCGGCCTCCGCTGGCACCCGACGGAAGACAAATTTTCCTTCGCGATTCGTCCGCGCGCAATCACCGTGTTCACAAAGAGGCGCGTCCTCTCGGAAACCGCACGCTTATTTGATCCATTAGGGTGGCTCACCCCCGTCGTGATCCGAGCGAAGATCCTCATCCAGTCCACATGGCTGAAGGGGCTGGAATGAGACGCCCTTCTTCCGGCGGCCGACGCTCAACAGTGGGAGAGCTTCCTGGGGGAGCTTCCGCGCCTTGAACTCGTTCGCGCGACCCGCTGGCTCGACAGCGGCGCAAATTCCCGAGTCGAGATCCACGGTTTCGCCGACGCGTCCGAGCGAGACTACGCCGCGGCCGTCTACCTCCGCGTCACGAGAAACGGCTCCACCACACTGCACTTGCTCACGGCCAAGAGCAAGGTAGTCCCGATTCAGCAGGTGTCCCTCGCTCGACTCAAACTGTCCGCGGCCGCACTACTCACTAAATTAACGTGACACGCTCGCGACACTTTACGCTTGTCCACAGCACCGATCTTCCTCTGGTCCGACGCCCGAGTGACACTTCACTGGATCAAGGGCCACGCATCCCGATGGAAGACGTTCGTAGCCAACCGGGTATCACTTATCCAGCGAACTCTGCCCGAGGCCCTGTGGCGGCACGTTCCCGGACGAGACAACCCGGCCGATTGCACTTCCCGGGGGATCGCGCCCAGCGAGCTGATCGGCCATCCGTTATGGTGGGCGGGCCCACCGTGGCTGCGGGAGGACCAAACCCAGTGGCCTGCCGT